TTTATACTTTATATTAGTATTTATTGTATTTTTTATATTTACTATTATATATTTATTGCAGTTTTTATTACTTTATTATAGTATTTATTGTATTTTTTTACTTTTATTAATTAGTATTTATTGCAGTTTTTATACTTTATTTATTATATTTATTGTATTTTTTTACTTTATTATTATATTTATTGCAGTTATTTATATTTATTATTAGTTATTATTGCGTTTTTTATTTATTATTAGTTATTTATTGTATTTTTTATACTTTAGTATTTATTGCATTTTTTATACTTTATTATTAGTATTTATTGTATTTTTTTACTTTATTATTAGTATTTATTGCATTTTTTATACTTTATTATTAGTATTTATTGCAGTTTCCAGTGTATTGATACACAGTCCTACCTGGTGACCCCTAGTGGGGGTCCCGACACTCAGGTTGGGACCCGCTGTTGTTTTAAATGATGTCCATCCTTTTACGACACGTTTCAACACAACGTAATGCTACGCTACTTTGAAATAAAATAATAATTCACCGTTTAGCGACAGCACTGACGTTCACGCTGCGAGCTTTCACACTTAATGCAATGAGTTGTTTTTATTATAACATTTTAAGTCAAACATTCTCGTTCAAGTGGCTTTTTAAAGTGACACAGACTTAATCTAGTAACAAAATACAGAGTAAAACTTGTAAAAATGTTTCTTTAACATACAAAAGTTACTTTTAAAAGCTGCTTAATTGAGTTTGTGTTACTTAAAATGTTTGATGGATTTATTTCAGTTAGAATAACACGTTGTATTTCAGTGTATTATTAGTTTTCCTTTATGTCCTGTTAATCTCTCATTAGCATCGGGGCTGGATGGAGGCTCGGATCCGGGAGCAGATTGAGTTTTCCGACATTAACGGGGGCGTTTTTACACGTGAACGCCCCGAACGTCTCCGCCGTGAAGAGACGATGTAACCACACTCGTCATTAGCAGCTTGTTATGTTTTTTAATTCAGCGTCCAGCAGTGAGTCGGGTCAGTGGGTTCGTCCTGCTGCAGCTCTTTACCCAAACCCTCGTTAAAGGGAGAGTCCGGCTTTCACCTAACGAGGTTTTTCTCCAGCTCTATCCTCATGTAACTATATATTGTGAATTATAGAGATTGATAAAAGCATCTCTTATCGGTGGCACCTGATTGTGTTTCTTTGTTGATTCGATAGGACTCGTCGTTATCTTCACAGTCAGTCGGTTCTGGGGGGTTCCTCTCAGCCTTTTCTCTCGAATTTGTTTAATACTGAGTTGGATATTCCCCTCTGCTGTCATGCCGGACATTTCCTGACTTTCCTAACAGATGATGTGTAAGAAAAGGTTTTAAATGTACACGCAGAGATGCCCCGTTCCAGATATGGACAGAAACAGAAACCTCTCCGTCTGCTCTAAGACCCGTTAAAGAATGAGATCTTCAGTACTAGTGTCAGCTTCAACAAACCACAGACGGGCTCCGGTACCGACCCGCCCCGCCCCGTCTGAGTGACGACATTAACTGTTACGTCATCGACACCCCGGGAGCATGTGAGTGACGCTGGGCTTCAGGTCTGGACCCGACAGAAACAGAAATATCCGGTTGTGTTACGGGAACAGTGGAGCCGGGTGCCTTCACATAGCTCTGAGTTGATGTAATCAGAGCTTTATTTAAACTGGCAGCAACAAAGGTGTTTTGTTGAGCAACTGAATCGAAAGCGTCACCACAAAACGTGTCCTCGTCCGCTGAGTGAGGTGGTGTCGCTGTTGTAGGACGCTCGGACACAGACGGACTGTTTCTGGAGCACGTGGCTGGATTTCAGATACGTTTCTGAAAGTTTCAGCGGTTTCTGTTGCTGTCGGTGGAACTCTGAGGACGAGGTGGCTGAAATTTAAAACCGCGTTACGCAACTTTGTGAGCCAGCAGCTGAACACCGGCAGTGACAGGTAACGGGTTAAAAACCTTAAAGGGAGCACCCAGAAATCCTGCGGGGCGGGGTCAGTGAACGTGCCACAGCCCGAGAGAGGGAGAACACATGTAATGTTGTTTGAGGAGGTGGAGAAGGTGCTCTTACGTTTTGATCCATCTCTTCCTGTGGGAGGAGACTTGTCTGTGCCCAACGTCAGACTTTGTTTGGAGGAAACGTAATGAATCCTTGTGGCGCCTCATTTAAGCAGACTGTGCTCTCTGTTGAAGCCCTGCTTTGTGATTTAGGCCGGGTGCGTCTTTTTAAAAGCTCTACCGTCCTCGGCCGTGTGTTCTGCTGTGTTTCAGGGCTTAGCAGCAGTTAGTCGTCTCTAAAACCAGCTCCAGTGATACCTTAATCCCCCCGCAGCCTCGCTGAATGGACTCTATCTGTTGGTGCAGCGCTGGTGCAGTTTGGTTTGCCGTCACTGGCTCCGTCCAGGTGTTTACAGCAGGCCTCTACAGCTATCTGCTACCGCTCCTCTCTGCAGACGTGTTAACATTACGTACGAGTCTCATTATCGACCCGTGTGTTGACAGCAGAGCGGACGGAGACTCTGATATCGGCTGAGTGAAATCCAAACCAGATGGGTTGGATTCGGGTGACTGATCTTCTCAAACGCTGAGGTTTGGATGCGAGTCGGGGGAGGAATGTGGGGCTGTGATAATCATTTGGTTAGTCGATCAACAGAAAATTAGTAGATTTCAGTTGTTTCAGGCTAATTGATGGTTTTAATATAAAGCCAAATACAGATCCCACATTTCCCCGAGCTGCAGTGAGTTTATGTCAACAATGAATAAATAAAGCAGTGATTATCAGTCAGTCTCTGTGCAGATAAACAATAAAGGAATGTGCTCCACAGGCTGAGATACACCTGGCTGCTGCGCTCAGGTGTGGCACACGAGGAGGTTGTTGTAAGAGGCCGGTGGTTGATCTGTAAACCGGACTGACCTGCTGGTCCGATGGCTCTCTGACATCACCTCTGATATCCCAGGTGTGTTCGAGCTGCTCCCGGTTGGAGGCGAGGAAAGGTGACGCAACATTTACGGCACATTTCCTGCAGCAGTTTCCTCCTCCGTGTGTTTGTCCTCTCACAAATGGGTTTTGTGATCTCTCTTGTTGGATAATTGAATTCAGCGAGCAACGTCCGTGTTTCCTCCTCGTTTTGGGATTCTGAATATATTTCCATAAGTGTTTGTTAAGGTCGCCGTAGATCTGCTGAACTCAGAAGAAAAAGTCTGTTTCCTCGCTCCCAACCCCCACACAGGTGACATCATCACCTCGGCCTCTGTAAACAGTCGGGGAAGCCTCGTTGCGTCGTCTCAGTGGACCGAATTCCTGCTCTGGTGCAGTTTCTCAGGCTCAGCAGGCCGTCGCTGCTGCAGCTCGCAGTTTACAGCTCACGCAGGCAAATTCACTGGCTGATTGCCATCGCTCTGTAAAACACAACAACGACTGCAATTCTCTCTGCAGTTATCAGCTATCAGCCTGTAGTTGGGTCATGGAAGGGTTCAGGCTTGTTGGACTGTGACTGTTCCAGATAATGCTGACAGAAAGGTTGAACTGTCAACCTGATGCATGTGCTGCATGTTTAGTTTGCACAGTCTGTAGTGTTGCTGTTAATGTTGAATAGACGAGGTGCAAGCAGCAAAATCATTTTATCCCTCGGACCATCGACACCGTCATTTAGGATTAATAATCAGAATATCAAACAAAATGTATCACGAGCACGACAGGCAAAGTAATCAGGATTATGCATTTAACCCTAATCATGTCGCCTCAGGATGTACCGATGATGACAGCGAATCTGTGAACTGATTTATTTTCTCTGTTTCATTCTCACAGCGAAGCAAATCATTTCTAGGTCAGTGGCTGTCAAAGGGCTGGAGCTGCATGCCATTTTTATCCTGCCTCGGCACAAATTGGTTGAAAGCACTCCTTTTTCTCTTCGAGGGGAAAAGTGACATTGCCGAGCGCGGCCCGTGATTGAATCACTCTCCCGTTCTCTTATATAAGTTCTTCTGTCACTCTTTCATTTTTGTTTTCTCAAAAGTCCAATTTTTAAAACAAAAATTCTCTTGTTTGTCAAAAACACAAGCAGCTTCTTCATCACATTTTATTACTAATACATGAAAGGCCTGTCGAAAACCTTTCTATGAAGCATTTACAATTTGGGAGGTATTATTTTGTGTATCTTTGTTTAATGTCCTGATAACTCTGTGTAATTCCAGATTAACATGTCTGATATGTTGTTTAAAAATCACCATACCATGCATGTACATGTGTGTCCCAGGGGGATGTGCAGAGAAACAAAAAGCTAATTATATTACTTGTGATAAGGAGACTGAAGTGCTCTGAGGACAAATCAGTGCAAATATGTTTTTGTTTGTTTGCCTTTATCTTTTCCTAATTGTAAATTCCATGTCTTGCAGGCAGGTGATAAAAGGAGACGCCGGCTGTTCTCTCCCAGCTTAAAGAAGACCCGGATAGAGAGTGAGAGAGATAAACAGAGTCGGCAGGGATTCACCACCACCGAGGGAAAATCAGAATGAAAGTGCCTCTGTACCACTGACGAGCAGAACTGGAATGATATCGTGACCCTTTTTCCTGGAAGTGACCAAGTTAACGATGAGCGGGGGGATATAATGGCCAAGAACAAGGATGCGCGCCCCCCGACATTCGCCGTCAGTGTGGTTGGCCTTTCGGGGACGGAGAAAGAGAAGGGAAACTGTGGCGTGGGCAAGTCCTGCCTCTGCAACCGATACGTGCGTCCTGACGCGGACGGCTACTATTCGGAGCACACCTCGGTGCTGAGCACGATAGATTTCGGGGGGCGAGTGGTTAACAATGACCACTTCCTGTTCTGGGGGGATGTGTCCCATCGAGGGGACGATGGGTTGGACTGTAAAATCCAAATCATCGAACAAACAGAGTTCATTGACGACCAGACGTTTCTTCCGCATCGGAGTACGAACCTGCAGCCGTACACCAAGCGGGCGGCGGCCACCAAGCTCCAGTCGGCAGAGAAGCTCATGTACATCTGCACGGACCAGCTGGGCTTGGAGCAGGACTTTGACCAGAAGCAGATGCCCGATGGGAAGCTGAACATCGATGGCTTTCTGCTGTGCATTGACGTTAGCAAGGGTTGCAACAGGAAGTTCGACGACCAAATGAAGTTCGTCAACAGCCTCTACTCCCAAATCGTCAAGTCGAAGAAGCCTATCGTCGTCGCTGCCACAAAATGCGACGAGTGTGTGGACCAGCACCTGAGGGACCTGCAGGCCTTCGTTGCCAGCAAGAAGAACCTGCTGCTAATTGAAACGTCGGCACGCGCCAACGTCAATGTGGAGCTGAGCTTCAACGCCCTCATCCAGCAGCTGGACAAAACAAGGGGGAAGCCAAAAACTGTGCCATACCTGGAGGCCTATAAGATCCAACGGCAGCTCGTTGCATCAGTAACAGATAGATTTGAGAAGCTGATGTTGCACACGCTGAGAGATTACCACACCACGTGGAAAACGGTGGTCAATAATCTGAAGGGCCAACCAGACTACGACGACTTCATCACCCTGGAGGGAACCAGGAAAGCACGCAACATGTTCACAAAGCACATTGCACAACTGAAGCAGGAGCACATCAAGAGGAGGAGGGAGGAGTACCTGACCACGCTGCCCAAAACCCTCAACAACCTCCTCAATAACCTGGAGGAGGTTGAACACCTCTCGTGGCCCGAGGCACAGAGCGTAATCCGGAACCGGCACGACTTCCAGTACTGGTTTGTGGTTCTGGAGCGTACGCCGTGGAACGAGACGGACCACATCGACAACAGCGACCGCAGGATACCCTTTGACCTTCTCGATACGCCCGACGGTGAGAGGATTTACCATAACCACGTCCAGCACCTGCTGTCTGAGAAGAGGAGGGTGGAGATGAAAGACCGGTTCAAGAAGACGCTGGAGAGGGTTCATTTTATCAGTGCGGGGCAGCCTTGGGAGGAAGTCATGTGCTTTGTCATGGAGGACGAGGCCTATAAGTACATCACAGAATCAGATAGGAGGGATGTTTATTGTAGACACCAGCAGGAAATAGTTGAAAGGGCCAAAGAGGATTTTCAGGAAATGCTTTTCGAGCATGCTGAGCTCTTCTATGACTTGGATCTGAACGCCACCCCCAGCTGCGATAAGATGAGCGAAATTCACAGCGTGCTCAACGAGGAGCCCAGATACAGAGCGCTGCAGAAACTTGCCCCAGATAGAGAGTCGCTCCTCCTCAAACACATTGGGTTTGTTTACCATCCCACTAAGGAGACGTGCCTGAGCGGGCAGAACTGTGTGGATCTGAAAGTGGAGCAGGTTTTAGCGAACAGGCTGGTGCAGCTCGACCACGGACGCTCTAATCTCTACTATAACAGTGCCAACATCGATAAGATCAACCTCTGCCTCCTGGGAAGGGAGGGTCTCTCACAGGAACTCGCCAATGAGATCCGAGCTCAGTCCACAGACGACGAGTACACCCTGGACGGTAAAATCTATGAACTGGAGCTTCTTCCCGTGGACGTCAACTCCACGCTGCTCTTCAGCCACACATGGGTCAACACGTTCAAACCACACGGCTGCTTTTGTGTGTTCAACTCCATAGAGTCCCTCAACTGTGTCGGAGATTGCATAGGCAGGATCAGAGCGGAGATCGCACAGAGTCGGAGAGATCGGTTTGCTCAGCCGCTGCCATTCATTCTCATCCTGGCAAATCAGAGGGACAGTGTTTGCAAAAATATACCAATCCTGAGGCACCAGGGCCAACAGCTGGCAAACAAGTTGCAGTGCACCTTCGTCGACATCCCCACCGGGGCTTTTCCTCGTAAATTCACAGAGTTCCAGATTAAGCAGGGCCTCCGAGCAGTGCTGGAGGGGCTGAAGCATAACTTTGATGTCTTGGCCCCACTGCCGTCTATCAAAGACATGTCAGAGACAGACCTTAGGATAGTCATGTGCGCCATGTGCTGGGATCCCTTCAGCGTTGACCTCATCCTCTCGCCTTTCCTAGACTCGCACTGCTGCAGCGCGGGGCAGCCAGGCCAGAGTAACACACTTATACTGGACAAGATCATTGGGGACAGCAGGAGGAGGATCCAGGTCACCGTCCTCTCCTACCACTCTGCTATCGGGGTCCGCAAAGATGAACTGGTGCACGGATACATTTTGGTCTACTCTGCCAAGCGCAAGGCTTCTATGGCAACCCTGCGGGCGTTCTTGGCCGAAGTCCAAGACGTGATCCCCGTCCAGATGGTGGCGATCACAGACAGCCAGGCAGACTTCTTTGAGAACGATGCCATCAAGGAGTTGATGACGGAGGGCGAGCACATCGCCACAGAGATTGCCGCCAAGTTCACAGCACTGTACTCGCTGTCACAGTATCACCGTCAGACCGAGGTTTTTACACCCTTCTTCAATGAAGTGCTCGAGAAAAAGCCGAACATTGAGAGTTCCTTCCTGTTCGACAGCTCGTCGCGGGAGTGCACGACCGGTGCCAGTGAAGACGTCTTCCCCACTTCGCCACATAGCCATTCCCCAGCCTACAACACCTATTACCCAGAATCTGATGACGATAACGAGGCCCCCCCACCTTACAGTCCAATAGGTGATGACGTTCAGCTTCTCCCCACACCCAGCGAGCGGGCCAAGTACCGGATCGACCTGGAAGGCAATGAGTACCCGGTCCACAGCACGCCCGTTGGAGACCACGAACGCAACCACAAAGTGCCTCCACCTGTCCGGCCCAAACCAGTGCTCCCCAAGCCCAATGTTAAAAAGCTGGACCCCAACCTGCTCAAAACCATCGAGGCAGGCATGAGAAGCAATCGTAGAACGCCACGTGGCCCGATGAGTCACGCCGAGGACGTGGAGGCGTCGGACAACTATGCAGACCCTGTGGACACCTTGCTGAGGTCCAGGGGCTTCCACAACGATGACATATACGCTGTGCCTGATGACACGCACAGCCGCCTGGTCAAAATAAGGAACTCCTTTGGCGGGCTGCATGGCCTCCACGGAGGAGAGGAAGAGAATGGCTTTGACAGGAAGTCTCAGGCTGGACGGCGGCCGTCCAAATACAAACATCGCTCTAAAATCTTGTTCAGCAAGACGAAGGCTTACCAAAGACGATTTCACTCTGACAGCGACGGGGAGGAGTCTGGCCCTGCCACACAGAAAAAGAAGAAGGGAAGAGCCCACCGGGGCAGCGAGGAGGACCCACTGCTGTCCCCTGCCGACCCCTGGAAGACTGGGATAGATAACCCCGCCATCACCTCCGACCCTGAGCAGGAGGACAAGAAGATGAAGAAGAAGAAGACGCCCAAGACGCCAAAGGAACCGAAGAAGGTTAGTGTTATCTGTCACGGATCTGACTTTAGCAGAGTTTTAATGTCTGTTTATACGCCTGCTTTTAGCGCACCGGTTCCAAAGAGCTTTACAGAACAACACAAGACCGAAAGACACAAGACAGCAAAGATATTATTGTCTCCAAAGCTTTCTGGGGTTGAGTGACTGAAAGAGAGCTTCAGTGCGAGAGAATGAGAGAGTGTGTGTGTGAATGAGAGCAGAAGAGATTGTGTAGAGTAGTGTGCGGGGACGTGTGGGTGTGAGATATGAGCAGATTTCTGTTTTTAATAGGCCGGGGACTCACGGTGAGAATAAACTAATTTGATAATTGATTGATCGGCCCCGCTGCTGGAACGGTTTATAAGCCTCCCCACCTTTCAGGCCCCAGACAAGCAATAAAAGCCTTGATAAAAGACGCACTGTTAAAGACAGTAGGGCTCTGTCTGTATAATCTCAGAGCAGGGGCCGCATCCGTGATAAGATGCCTGCTTATCCTTTACAACAGCTCTCTAAAGGCTCGTCTGAGACTGCTGCTCGCACACACGAATAAGCAGGTAGGTCGAGGGTTTCTAGTTCGATTCCCAGCTCCCCCAGTCCAGTTGAAGTGTCCTTGGGTAAGATACCGAACCCCAAATTGCTCCCGATGGTGTGTGAGTGAGCTTAGTGTCATCATGAGCGCTTTGGAAAGGAAGCGCAGTATCGCTCCGGATGAGCAGCCGACCGTGTGTGAACAGTTGGATGTGCTTTAAGTGGTCGGTAGAAAAGGGCTGTATAAATAAAAAGGTCCACGAAACATGTTTGCATATAGAAAACGCAGTTAAAAGCACTCGTTAGCATTCAGTGAACGTACACACACCCACTAAACACTACGGCCTCCTAACAAATTACTTATAAGTACATTCACATTAGAGATAAAAGGCGGAAATCTAAAACTGTAATAATGTTTAAAAAGCCGGTGCTAGATGCTCAAAGTGGATCCTCTCAGCATTGTTAAACTTAAATCTTAATCAGGAACACGTGAATGTGATTAAAACTGTTTATTGACTTATATAATCTATAATAATGATAATAATATAATACACAACCTAGATGTCGGCACGTGTGTGTGCACAAACACTTAAATCAAGTGAGCGCGCTGGCACGAATCCGATAACAGCGTGCAAATCAGTATAGAAACAGCCGGCGGCGCTACATGGGCGTCATGAATGCAGGGCATTGTTGGTACATTCAGACTGCCTTTGATAATCAGAGAGGAGAGCGAACAGAGAACCAACAAGGTACAAAATGGAAGGTGTTTAGTCGCCGTCCTGGCCAATTAGAGAGCAGACCGAGCCGCTGTAGGCATGACAACACTTTGAAGAGCAGGGGAGTGTTGGAAATCAAAGCCACCTCGTTACTCGTCCCAGCTTCGGTCTTGAATAATGGTTTTGTCTGTTGTCTTCTTTCTTCTCGTCTTCCTCCACATGGACCTCCCTCTGCTTTTCTTCCTCCCTTCATCCCACTAACTTTCTTTCTGATCTGTTTCCCGATTGCCCTCCTCCTCCTTTTCTTCTTCTCTGATATGTTCTGCCTTCTCATCACCCTCTCTCCTCCTCCATTTCTGGACTCCCTTGTGTATTTTTCTCAATTCCCTCTTCCGTCTACCTCCTCATGCTTTTACATTTCTCCTTTAAACCTATTATATATTTTTCCTTTCCCCTGTCTCCCTTTTTCTTTCCACTCCTCCATTATTATCATCCCATCCGACTCTTGTTTCTCTTCCATCATCCCTCAATCTCCTCTTAAACTTGCTGTTTTTTGTTTTCTTCATTTTTTCTCCCTCTCCTTTCTTCTCCTGTCCTCCCTCGTTTGTCATCCTCTTGCCTCCGTCCTCTTCCTTCCTTTATTACTACTCTAACAATCTCCGTCCTTCCTGCTCTTTCACCCTCACTCTTCCCTTTCCCCATCTCCTCTCATCCCCCCCTTACAGCCGAAATCTTCCAAGCCCCCCAAGCCTCTGTACCCCCCCACCCGGAGAACCTGGGAGAGCAACTACTTTGGCGTTCCCCTGCAGAACCTGGTGACCCTGGACCGACCCATCCCGCTCTTCATCGAAAAGTGTGTCGACTACATCGAGCGCACAGGTGAGTCATTCGTTTTCGTCAGTTTCTCTTTCTCTCTTTCTCCGTCCCTCTCTCTTCTGTTGCTTCTGTTCCCTTTCTCTCTCCCACTCTCTGCTGCCTGAGCGTTCAGGTGCAACCAAGCTCTCTCTGGTATTTTGTAACTCCTGCGAGGTACAGCTGGTTTGTTGTTACATGCAGAAGCTTTGTGGTTATTTTCTGTGAAAATGCCTCTCATGTCTTTCCAGATGAGTAACTGAATGATAGAAGGAGAATGGATGGGGGGGGATGATTCGAGGTGCGGGTGGGGGAAGCGCATGAATCTAATTACTAGGAAGGTTCACTTCTTAGAAGCTCTGATGTCACCCTTCGAACATGTTTTGTCTGGTCAGCCCGCCAGGCTGCCACTCAATACAAGTCAATTTCAATTCGATGAGCTTTATTGGCACGGCATTTGATGTGTCGCCAAGTCACTGCTGAGGTGATTACAAAATAAGATAGTAGAAGATTAACGAGATCAAAGAAGCGATTGAGGATGAGATTTACAGGTACGTGCCATCCGTTAATCAACCATACACAAGAAGCTAGAAAAGAAAATGAGACGGTACCCGTAAGGACATGTAAGAACAATTGCATGTGTGAAAAAGTTTAGGAGTGGCTGGTGAAACAATTCTGCCCAAAAACTGTTATAACAGCAAAACTAAATGCTCAATATTTGCTGGTTACAGCTTCTCAAATGTGAGGTTGTGCTGCTTTGCTTTGATTTATAGCCTTGTAATTCAATATCTCTGCGTTTTGTGGACTGTAAATTGAACTAAACAAGCAATTTGAATAAGTCACTTTGGGCTCTGGGAAGTTGTGATTGTATTTGGCAGATTGATCAATAGTGAAAACAATCATTAGGTGCAAACATAGCTGAAAGTAACACCCTGTTACTCTCTCCCATCAGTCGGCCTCAAGGTCAAAGGATGTTAGCCGTGTCTTTGTCATCCCCAGAGTCAGAGTCCTGGTCGGAGCCGCTGTGATTCACCTTGTTTCTGTCAAACTTGTCGAAATAAACCTTGAATTGAGTTGGACGTGAGAATATTTTTGGCTCTGCAGTTGTTTTTCCTCTCACTCTCATCCTTTGCCTCAGCGTGTGTACTGTGCTGCTCGTTCTTCAGAGGCAGAACATTAAATTAGCAAAATTAAATTCCAAAAATTGTCCAGAAAAATAACCAATAATATCTGTATCTTGAGATGCCGTTGAGCAAGGCCCAATTAACTGCTTTGAAACTGCTCAGCTGAACTGCAGAAGTCAGTGGTTGTATCAGAAGAGCAGGCACGCGCTGTGGTATTTTTCTGGATAAATAAAGTTGCAAGATAAGACATGCAGCCTGTTGCAGCTCCAGCTGCTGACGCAGACACCCGGTGCATGCTGGGTATGTGTCTGGCTTCTGGCCCAGCTGTCGTAAAGAAGGCCTCCCCCAAAGTCTGAGAAATTCCTCAGTGAAGTCATGGCTCAGTCTGATAGATATTTATACACCGTGTGCTGGACACTTTATCCTGAGTGTTTATTTTCTTTTATGAAAGACTGCAGTGAGATTCAAACCCACAACCCTGCCAGATTTGAATGCCTTGCTCCTCACATTTAGCCATACAAGGAATAACTCTTCCCCTCTGCCGATTAGAGACCCAAGCAGTTACTTTTTCTCTTCTCACCACAGAATGAATATTTGAAACATGCTTAATATTTGATGAGCTTGTTGCATAATGTATTTACTCATGGTCCGGTGCTCTTTTCCATGTTTAGCGCCTTCGAATAAGCTCTAAGAAGCAAAAGTGTCTCTTGCTGGAAGAAGCAACTTCTCAGTCAAATTGTAAAAAGTCTCAGATGACGTGATGTTTTTGCTGGCGCCTGTTTGTGGGTTCACAGGGGGAGAGTGTCGGCTCAGGCATCAGTTAGAGCATTTGTGAAAGTTCGAGAGGCTCTTTAAGGTGTTTGCATTGTGTTTTGAGGACAGTTGTTTTTTCTCTGTGGCTAAATGAACGCAGGAACCCTTCAGCTGACTGAAAACACATGTCTTATCACCTTATCCCCTACTCTCTCCTCCATCCTCCTCCATATGTGCTGCAAATGTAAAGCATGTCCATTAAAAGGAGGTATTTCCTGTGTTCCTACCAGCGAGCAAGTGTTCGGTTCTGTTTTGAAGGTTTGTGTCTGAGCTCTTTTCGTTTTGGGGCTGTTAATTCCTGTCCTGAAAATCCCTCCCGAATATGTTTTGATATTCAGCTGGATCTACATGAGCCCGTTGGTGGCTGCCAACCAAATTTAGGATTAATCCCAGCGCTGTATGTGTGTGGATGTGCGTGTGTTTGCGGACGCCTGCCAGCTGACAGCAGTGTATTGGAGATTTCATGGCTGGTACCGTGAAACCCTCTAAGTCCAGACGGTCTGTTGGGTGGATTTAACAGCTTTTCCCCTCCCTTCTCTTTGTGGAATATCATTTCTCACCAGACGCAGCGAGAACATCTTTGTACTTTTTTTTTTTTTTTAAAAGCCTGCTGTTGTATAAGGTGCTTCATAACCAGACAATTTAAGGGCTTTTATAACTTGATGAGACATTTCAGCTTGTTTCTTTCTTTGGGAGTCTAGGTAGGGATTGTGGTATTCTTCATAAACAGTCTGGTTGCCTTGGTAGGAGTTTAATCTGTCTGTATAACATATTTGAGGTTATAGCTCAGAGGGTGGGGTCGTCCTGTGAATGTAGAGAGTTTTCAGTGATTGTGGGTGTTGGCGTGATAGCTCAGTGGTTAGATTGACCCTCTTTTAGTGGAAAAACAGTCTGCAGAGACCCCTCTGTCTGCAGAGATCCACCCTTCTAATGTCTGCTAAAATAAGATACCGAATCCCTGCCATCTGCAGAGCTGCTGCTCTACCTGACCTCTGACCTCTGAGCGTTGTGGGACGAAAGAGACCGTCCCAATGGAAATCATTAAAACATCACCATTATATTGTGTTGTGTTGTTTTTCCATGAGACACCAGACACTTGTCACATTAATTGGAGGTGAAAGTCAAAGTGTTAAACCTTCCCTTTATGGTGGTCCATTTAATAGCGTTTCTTTTTCAGGAAAAATACTCCCAGAAAAGGATTAGTTTCATGTTTCCGGTCTGAGGCTGAGAGAGTCGCCTACAGAAAGTCAAACTTAATCAGTTTAAGGAAAATAATGCTGTAATACCACCCACACTGATAGATATTACTCAAAGCATGGTCGAGCTGAACGACTGTACTACTCTACTGTATCTAACCTCAGTACGAGTAGAACAAAGTGAAAACTGCTCAGATTGGAAATGTTAGACACAAATAACAATTTGAAACTCTTACTTGGAGTTTTGGGGGAATTGTGATGGTTCATTTTATTGACCAAACAGTTAATCGATGAACCATAAAAAAACAAAATAATGATTATTTTCATTATTAATGAATATGCAGAATGTTTCTTGATTGATTACTTGTTCTATAATGTGTCAGAAAATAGTGAAAAAGGCACCTGACTATTTCTCAGAACCAAAGGTGACACTGCTATTAATTGTTTTGATACTTTTTGACTCAAAGACATTAAATTTACCATCATAGATGACAAAAATCAGCTTAAACCCTGATTTTTTGGGGCTTTTCTGCTTAAACAATAACATAATCTGTTATTAAAATATTTCCTGGTTAATCTTCTGTTGGCAGACTGTTGGATTAATCAATGAATTGATTCAGCGCTACACAATAAAAATGAACCTTAGTTGCAGTCCAAAGTACGGTGGCTGTGTTGTGTTTTTTTTGGTTGCAGCGAGGAGCGGTAATCTCCGGGAGGCCAGACTGCTGGTTGGTTTAGTTTAACCACATGTAACAAGCTGCCAGCCGAGAGGCACAGAGGCAGAGAGGTGATGATGGCTGTTTGTGGTGCCTTTGGTTAGAGACCAGAACGTGTGAGAGGAAAAACTGTGACTTTATGTGTGTGTGAGACGGAGCGTGGCTGCAAGTGTGAAGACGTGAAACTGTGATTCTGTGTGTGACCTTTATTTGGTGAATTTGTGTAAGTGATAAGACTGTGGCATGTGGTGTTTGTACGTCAGCTCCTTCCAACCTGCTGTCTTTAATGCAGATCTCATATTTGTTCCGGAGTTTTTCTGGTGGAAACTCAAGTTGACATTTTCCAGGAATCGGCTAATTAAGCGTACGTCTGTGTCAAGAGTTTTGTTTCAAGTGTGCAGCGTCGAACTGTTAAAGAAACTCTGAGATAAAATGCTGCCATTAAATAAGGATGGTGCTTGTTCTGTGCCGGCTGCCTCTGTTTCCTGTGAGGAGAGATCTGCTTGTTATCATTTTTAGGACGTTCCAGTCACCACATTCTAATTATAATGCGACTAACAGGCTTCCCAAGGGCCCTGCAAACCCTTAAAGGTTTGTAGATTTGAAGAAAAATTAAACAAAGCCTTCAAGGTCTCTGAAAAAGAGTGGATGGGCTTGAAAACACTGTTTTAAATTAAAACGTAGCACCAAGTCCCTAGGATGTTTTAACTGCCGGTTATTGGCTTGAGATTACACATTTGAGTGTAGACAAACGTGTGATTGTGGTACCTCAGAAGATGACAAAAAGAAGTCTGAATTTGATGTAAAAAGACCCCAGAAAACCATTGTCCTTGAATATGTCGGCCAAGGTGATTCCATAAGTGTGTCCTTATGGAGAAATCCCTTGTAATGTGATTCACAGAGCTGTTTCTCTGTACTGTAGATTACAGCTCTGTACCACATTATTTTCGAAGCCTCTCATTTTTTTGTGCCATTCAGCTTACTATCTGATTCTTCCTCAGCTTACAGTTAAGCTTTTAGGACCTCTCTATCCATCACCCATCCATGTGTGCTGGCGTCCCTTTTATTATACTCATGGATCAGTGGTTAGACATTGAGGACGCAGGAACCTACAAGCATCTAGGCACTTCTTCAAATAATCTAGGATTATAAAACGCCCTTCTGTGTAAGTTAAGTGA